AGCCGCCGCCGCTGCCGGGCGTGGAGGCGAGAGGGCGGCGGGGCTCGGGACGCCGCCTGGCCGGCGCTGCGGAGGGGTTGGGGCAGAGCCGGCGGGGTGGGGGCCGAGCGCAGCCTCGCAGGACACGGACGCGCTGGACATCGCCCCCCTCACGGCCCGCACCTCTCGCCGCGGGCAGTTACCTCAGTTTGGGTGTTTGCACGGCCAGACCAGCGCGTCCTTGGCAGGGAACACTGTTTGGGTCATCACCAGCTCTCCAGCATCCTCCCCTTCCAGCAGTTTCTCTCCCGTTAAAGCCAATCTCCTCTACAGGCCTCCCGTTCCTCTGAGTCGCAGTCCCAGGGAGAATAAACCAAGCCCGGATTTATCCCTTACCTGGCTTCCCCAGGGCCGTGGGCAGGAGCGGCTGCTCCCCCTGTTCCTTTTTTCCTGGCTGCAGTAGAACTTCATCCCCGACTCCAGAGCACTCCAGAGGCTTTCCTGGAGCCCAGCTGTGCTCCTGGCTGAGGAGCCACCTCCCCTGAGCCCCCCTGTCCCCGCAGGTTGCTCACAAACCCGACTGCCAGGTGCTGGCTGGCCCCAAGGGCTGCCTGCCGCTGGCAAGTTGGGCTCCATGACATCCCAGTTTGGATGGATACTGAGGTGACTGGAAGTTGCAAGGCAAGATGAAGACAAAGGGATGCACATCTTTTGATCCAACCCAGCCATAACCTCAGGACTGCCTTTACAACACTCAGGACTGGCTCCCGTTTCCCAGGACTGGTTCTGGGCTGAGGTCTCCACAGGACATTGAAACCTGCTCAGTTCAGACCTAAGTGCCCATCACTGTGCTCAACTGTGCTTCAGCCCAAGGCAAGGCATTACTAGAAAATTAACACCGAAAAACCACAGCATTATAGGCAATTCATGATACTGGAATTCAGTTTTAGGAAGATTTTGTTGCATCACAGTGTTGCATCACTCCTATTAAACATTAGTCACAGACAAAAATCCAGTGCAATTATTCACATAAAGCTGTAAATACAGCATGGCACTGTTACCATATTGGTTCCTTTTATATTGACATATAGGGCTCATGCTTATCTCTGTGCCCAGCATGCAAAGGGATTACATTTAGAAAGTGCTCAGCTATTTTCTCCCACTAAAGATAAAACACATGTAAATTTTGTTTACTGGTTTGTGAATAGTGATAAAGGGATGTTTTCAACTGGAAATGCTGAAACTGAAAAACATTGCAAACTTTTAAGGAGGAGTCACAAGTGCTTCCAGCAGCAGTCAGGCACTGGGCTTTGACTGGGAGACAGGGAATGAGATCACTGGCCACCAGAACTTCCCTCTCTATCAATCTACCTCCATCACAGCTTGGAAAATGTTGTGGGAAAACAGGAGTCCAACTAAAATGATTTTCTTAATACCAGGTGTACCGAGAAAAGGATTAATCTGGATTTGAAATGAGTTCATGCTCTCTATCAAAACAGTGACACAAGCTGGCAGAATGAAGGTAGTGAGTCTGTTGCTGTTTGTCAACAGATAAAATTGTTGCTAAGCAAATGTTACAAGCTTGGGATATGTAGTTAGGGTTTCAGGAAGCCCTCCCCAGAGCATGACTGTCTCAAAGTCACACTAACAATCCTCATTTTCCATTAAACCATCTGTTACAGGTGAAGTGATAGAAAAATCTATGAAGTACACAGGGTTGATAATGTTTACCTAATGAAAACTGACAAGATGCTGCAGTTATATTTTCATTTTAGAAGCTTTTTTCCCTTGTTTATAACTTTATATGACCCTGGATAGAGTTTTTTTATCCCACCTGTCTTTCTTTGATGCTGCTACTTTAGAAACTTCTAATAAAATTTGATCCAGTCACTTTCAACAAATGTTGCAAAGAAATATTAATTTTAACAGTTAAAATGTTACAGTTGGTTTCATGTAAATTGTTGGCTCTTAATGCTTTGAAGCAAAGACTAAAAACTGGGTAAGGAATCAGTGGTGGCTGAATGGTGATAACAACAGACTTCACTATTGCAATAAAGATAATTTCACTTATGCTCTTGGAAATAACTTTATTGCTGTGTGTGAAATATTAAAAGAATACTGGGATAAGCATCTCAAAAGCACCAGAAAAAAATCGGATCAGGAATAAAATTGTACTGAATTATGCATTATACTGTAAGCAGAAATGAAAGTGTGCAGTAAGTGTAAGTTGTGCCATCAATCCCATGTTCTGCATGGGACAGAGGTTATAGGGAGCAAGCATCTGAAGGAATATCCAAGATAATCCATGAAGTAAATCCAAATTCATATGTATTGAATATTATACCCATTTGTGCCTTCATAAAGTTTAGTTACTAGCAGGTTTTTACCAACTGCAGTTCTGCTCATGTTCTGTGGCATTACTAACCTATGTCCAAAGAGAATGTCACTTCTTCAATGTTTGCTGCTTCAGGGGGAGAAGGAAAGGAAGAGAAAGCAAGTTCTCATCTTAAACAAGTTCCTGAAAAAATGCTGTGCAAAATTCAGGTGCAAATCATGAATAACAGAGGGAAGAAAGATTTTTGAAGTAAACCCAAGTTCCTTACTGCTGCAGGACGATGGGAAGTGGAACAAAACCATAAGAGAACATTTAAGCTTGTCAGTTCCATCTAAGTATCTTAAAAAACATTTCTTTTGCTGAATTTCAGTGGTGTAAGTACTGTAAGAGCCTTCCCTGCAGGACCTTCCTGCTGCTGCTCCTCACAGCCCCTGCAGAGTTTGCATCACAACTTTTCCCTGTACTCCAGAGTCAGAAAAAAAACTTCCTGTATTGAGGGTTTGCTCAGAAATTGCTTCCTGAGGCTTCAGGCTCTAAAAGCCAGGCTCTGTGGGGACTCCTGTGTTCACTTCTAGCAGGGCATTACTCTGAAGTACACTTATTTCTCAGCTCTAAGCTTTAAGACTACAGGGTTGCTATAGGTGTAACTCCTGCCAGCGGGATAAAAAAATCTCTGCATTTATTCCCTTTCACTGGACAAAATGCCACAGGAAGCACAACATGGTAGGGATGAGAATGAACAAGCTACATGTGACAGATTTAATTTATTGCTGTTTAAAGATTTAATTGTTTTACGTAAGAATATACTTTGTTTATGATCAGAATGAGGGTTATATAAGACCTAAACAGAAAGGGATTTAAATAATGCCATGTTTGAATGGAGAACATCTGAGAGCAGCTGACCTATTCAGATTTCACTGCAAAGAGGAAGACTTTGCATTGCTTAAGTACCCACTTAAACACTTCTGCAACAGAGCAGCTTCTAACAACACCTTCACCCAGCATGGCTGGATGCACAGGGAGGGAGCTGAGGGCCTTCTCTGGCAGGCAAAACAAGAGGGACAGTTCTCAGAAATCTGCCAACAGTTGACCCAACCTCCAAAACTAGGCTGGACACAGAACTTCCAAAGAAATGAAGGGCAATAGCTACAGAAACTACAACTGGCATGTTGTACCTATGGTACAAAAATTACCTTTCTATCTATTCCCAACCCTCAGTCACCTTAGGTCATCTTTTTCTACTTTTCCTCCAGTTTTCTCTCAGGCTTCCTTTCCAGAATGGGAGGTCTTGCCTCACAAAGTCTGTTGGAATTGTGCATCCTTCTGCATCTCTCTCTGCAATCTCACCTTCTCACAGACGTCCACAAAGCACCCAGCAATAGCCAGGCAGATACTGGTCCCATGTACAGACTACACTGCAATAAATAAAAATCCCAAACAAACCAAAACCCAAGTATTCTCTAACAGATGTTTCTTCACCTTTTTGAGTTGTATGTTCTGTAAGAGTTCTGGAGGATGGGCTGACCCAAGACTTGCTGAAGCTGATAGGAAGCTTCCAATCCACTTAGGAAAGCTTCAGAAAGGCTCACTACAATATCTGACCCTTCCTGAGCCTCCAGCCGCAAGTGCTGAGACTAACTAAAAGAGGCTAAAAAACCTAAAAGAAAAAACCTAAAAAGCATTCAGAATTGAGGCAAGTGCAAAATACTGAGTTGAACTTTTGTCAAGAAGCATGTGATGCATGTGATGATTACCCAGACCAGTGCCTTGCTATCTGCATCTTTTTCCCCCCCAAGGTTTTTGTTGCAGAGAAATTCAACTTATTCTTTTATGTACATAGCCTACCAGGAAGATCATGCATCAGCTACCAAAAAAAAGAAAAAAAATAAGGAAGGTGCTCAGGCACTGATGAGGTGATGTTAGTATCAATTTTAGTATCAATTTTATGTTTCAGCAAGTGCAGAGGACACGGTGTCTTGCCATTTTTTTTCCCATTGAAAATGACAGATGAACAGCCTCCCCTCAGGCTTCCAAGTAATTGTAGATAATAACAGTTCCTTGAATGGAGAGCAGTTACCCTACAGCTTCTTAACTTAATTTTCTCCTTGAATGAGACCTCTTCAGAACAGTTGGATGACTATAAAGAAAAATTTTGCAAGGTGCTATTTGGGTTTATGTAGTCTTTATATGTGCTGCCCATAATAAAAGATGAATTAGTTCAAAGCCTAGTGTTCTGTCAAGGTAAAGTGGATATTTTCATGCTGTGAATATCGTCTGATTCCTGATTTTACTGGCATGTCATTATAATCTCATCTGTGAGATTACATGTTTTCTTTTTTGTCCATGCAGAAAGTACTTCCTTGAAAGAAGACGATCTTTCCTATCCTGAGATGCTACCAGTAGATAAAAAGCTTCTAAACTTACAGATCTACAAACTTCTTCAGTGTGTTCATGAGAAAGACAAGAAGCAAATAGAAAATCTGATCCAGAAAGGATTCCCAGATCTCATTAATTACACAGAGCCTAAGGAAGGATACAGCGCCTTACACTTGGCCTCCATGAAAAATGACATTGAAATGTGCCGCTTCCTGCTGGAACATGGAGCTCGTCCAAATGTCCACGACAACATGGGATGCACTCCAGCCATGAAAGCAGCTGAGCTAGGCCATGAGGTGATTTTGGAATTATTAGCAAAAGCTAATGCAGACATGACTGCTGTGGATAATGAGGGGCAAGGTGAGTGAGAAGGAAATACCATAAAGCAATCCCTTTACTGTGTCATGCACTTACTACATGTGATGTGTCCTACCTGTGGAGAGGAACTGTGGTTGAGGAGTATCCTTACAGCCCAACAGAAGCTGTTGGCCATACAACTTTGATGAAGATAATTCTCCATGAAGAGTCTAGGCTTTTAAATCATGAGTCTTCCAGTAGAGAGCTGAGAGGTAATTCATGATTGAGAACTGCATTCCTCCTATGACCTATGACATAGGAAACTCTGGTGTACTCCCCAAGTAAAGACTCTAAAGTAAAAATTTCTTTTGCATGGATACACCCTCAGTGAAGGGATCTCTACTGCAGACTGGTCAGCTGTGAAGCTCACAGCCTCATAACCCTTCTGGTAATTTCCTTTTGCACCCTAATCTCCACTGGTTTCCTTTGCAGGTATTTTGTTTTACTGCCTTTTACCTACAACACGCCACTCCCACTGCCTGCAAATTGCCTTGGAATATGGTGCAGATGTCAACAACTGTACTACTACTGGGAGGTCTGTGCTTCTACAAGCCTGTGAGCAAGCTCATGAGGTTAAAAAAATATGCCTGATTTTCTTGGAGAAAGGAGCAGATCCACATACAAAAGACCCGGTATGAGCATTTCTGTAACTAAGAACAGATAGAGGAGTATACAGCAGATTACATGGCCTTAAATCCTCCCATTAAAATAATAAAGCAGTGACAATTGCTCAACTCTGCAGCCATACCTCTTCTCTTCTGTACCACCTTTTCTTTGGAGGAGAGGGATTTAAGTCTTTTAGATTTTTGTAGGTTTGGAGCATAAATATTTCCCCACACTTAAATGTAACTGGGCCAGCTCTAAGGAGCTCCAGTTCACTGTACTTCAGTGGAGCAGTGCTGATTTGTACTTGCCTTGATGTGTCATTAGATTTTCAGAATTGAAATAATATTCAATAAAAGGTAAGTCCATTAGGGAAAGTCTGATGAGTAATCAAGGCAGGAATGAGGCATAAGAAACTTTTTTCTCTTTTGTATGTCTCAATGATTTGTTTGCTTCCTTAATTTAACAAAGACCTGAAAGACTGAAGCTCTGTGCTGTTGATAAATCAAGAAGCTCAAGCTCTCCCTTAGAGTTATCCAAAGCAAACATCATTATCTAGGAAAAGACAGCATTAATGTATTAGTTTGAACTTTTCCCCACAGAACCATAGTGAAATTCCCTGTTTGCTTTGCCTTCCCCATAACACTCCTCCAGCCATAGCTCCTTATTCTCCTGCTTTCATAAGCTGAGGTGGTATTTTGTGTTAAATGCTGTAAATATGCATGAGAAGATACACAGAGAATAAAGGATTCCTTAACTAAGGAATTGATTTTCATGGGCTTTATTCAAGGGACTCAAGCTTCAATGGGATCTGACTACCTTAGCAGCACTATGACTAGATTCTGAAAGTTTACCTGCAAGTATCTTTGAAACTATTAGACTCGTCTCCTTTTCCCAGTAACAGCTAAAAGGAGACCTCCAGTTTTATGCCAGCTTGGAACAGTCAGATCCCTCTGCCGCAGCCTTAGCACACGGACCAAACCGTGCGATGTTCTCTCGCTCCCCTGCAGGCCACGGGGCGCACAGCCGTGATGGAGGCTGCAAGGGAAGGTGCTGCCGAGGTGGTGCTGGATCTGCTGCGGAGGGGAGCCGATGTGAACCTCTTTGACTTTGAAAGACACAGCGCTGCACATTTCGCAGCCAAAGGAGGCTTTTTGGAGGTATTAACGTTTGTGGTGTTAAAGCACTGCTGCAAAGCCAAACCTGGGTGGGTTTTTTTGTTGTTATAGGGTTTTGCTTTGGGTTTTTGGAGTGTATTTTTGTTGGGGTTTTTTGAGTCCATTATCTCAGCTGATCAAAACATAATAATCAGTAGCCAAAAGCAGATTATTTTAAGTATCAAAGGGATTCCAGCAGTGATAGATAGCCCAGACAGGAGCTTAAAATGAGCTGTCAAGAATATTGTCCTTGGTGTCTACAACTAGACAAGGCTTCCGTTTCATCAGTTAAACAAGCATAATACTATAGAAAACATTAATGGTATATGTGCATTGACCAGCTGGACATGGGAGAGAACTTCATTATTAGAATGGGAATGTAAGATATTGCATTTATTTGTAAATCAATCTCACATTTTCACATATTAAGAAACAGACAAGATTGTTGGTGGGACTCTGTTTGCTTTTCTAGATTCTGACGATTATTTCAGGTTATAATGCAGACTTGAAACTGGTTGCTATGAATGGTAACACACCACTTCATTACGCTGCGGAGGGAGGATTTGCAGATTGCTGCAGGTATATAGGACAAAGAGGTACATTAAAACTAAGTTACTTTGCAACTATTATATATTCTATTTCTGTGCTAAAAGGAAGATTTTATTTAGGTATCTCTGAATGATTTGGTTCTTGGATACCCTGTGGAAAAATTCTCATTCAGAAGGGCCTAACAAGTGCTCTTATCTCATGTGGCTGAGAAAACATTTCTCAAAGAAAGCAGCGGAAACACCAGGGGTTTGTATTCCTTAGTGTTGGACAGTATTAAGTGGTTTTGGGTGTAGTTTGGTTTAGATGTATTTATTAAAACTTCCAATAGAAAATTTTTGATTTGATGATATTTTTAAAAAAATCTCTGTGCATGAGGAAAACTTGATGCCCATGGGTATTGAAACATGCCCTAAAGCAGGTGTGATCCTTTCCTGACTTGATCAGATTATCATGGTACTTCAAGCTTTGATCCAAGAGGACCACACAAAATCCCACGTTCTGTTCTTGTGATCAAACAAGTGATCCATTGCCAAATTTTAATGTTAGCGTATAGAAATAAGTGACACTTCAATCTTAGTTTGCTTCTTAACCTTGTTCACCACTTCAAGTAAAAATGTAAAGTTTCCACTGAACTTCTCTCTTTTTATACATATTCATGAGAGGATGAATAAATAGAGCATGGGTTGCTCAATGCTTCTCCCTTTGGGAAAAAAATAGGGACATGTGGCTGACCTTCCAGTCTGGGATCAATGACGTGGTTCCATGTACAATTGCTATTTATAGCTGAAACAGTATAAAATTGTAGGCCTGTGGCAATGAATTGCCTGTGTATTACAAGTTTCTTATATTACATAATTAGGAGTTCCACTGCACTATTAGCCCAACTGTGTCCATATTTCTAGGCTGTGATCCTACATGGACAAATTTGGCAAATCTGAGCCCAAGGGATACTGCCAAGAGCGCTGGGTTTAAAGCAGCAGCAAAAGTATTGCGCAAAGCTGAAAAAGGCTTTAAAAAAACAGATAAGACCCTTGCCTGGTACCTGAAGGTGTACGACTGGTCCCAGCAGCACAAGGATGCCATCTGCAAGGAGCTTGAGACTGATGAAGAAGAAGATGGGATGGTATCCAGAAATGATTTTATATCACTTATTCGGAAGCACTGCGGCACTGTCCATGTGGATGAGGAACAAATAGAAGTTCTTGCTAAAAAGCATGAAGTGTCTACTGACAGGATCAGCCTTGATGATTTTTTTAAAGGCTCCAAATACTTGCAGAAAGCCTTTCTGCTATCATCCTTTGGGCCCAAATCAAAGAAGAAGAAGAGACCCTCAAAAAAAAAAGGCAAAAAAGGCAAAAAAGGCAAAAAAGGCCTCCCTGTGCCGATTTGTGTAATACCAAAGAGTGAATGTCCACTTAGGGAAGATGGCCTCCCTACCTACATGGTTGAGGCTGTCCCACACATTCCCGAAAAGCAGCGTTTCAAACGGGAACACCAATCCACCCATCCACTGTTCGATGACCGTGCCTGGTACGTAGATGAGCCAAGGAAATCCCTCATAGATATCAACTACCTTGTCAGAGAAGGAGACTTTGTGTCTCTGCAGAAAGCATTCGACGAGGATGTGCCAGTAGACATAAAAGATAAATATTACAAAACACCTTTGATGGTTGCATGTGCAAGTGGCAACATAGTTCTCGTGGAGTTTCTTCTGGAAAAGGGGTAAGATAATTTCAATTTAATTGCTATTTTGGGAAGGCTTTCAAAAGCATAAATATCAAGTAAATATCTAAGTGCAAAAGACTATGGTTTACTTTTTGCTTACATAACATTTATTATTAAAATTAATTCCCTAAGATCTCAAGTCACAGGAGGTAAGTTTATTATTTTTCACATTTTAGTAGAATGGAAATGAAAGCAGCCAAGAGATAAGTTCCCCAGAACTGAATTTTTTTGGTGTCTGGACTGCTGACATTTGGTCAGCTGCAGAGTTCATAGCCATGTCTCAGGTAGTGCATCCTCACAAGCGAATTCTCAAAACTGGTGAGTGATTTTGGGGAAATCTGACTCGAAGGACTTGCCTTAAATCATCGAGGTGATCCTGGATTTTCCTGTTCCACATGCCTGGTTTAAACTTTCGTTTTCCTCTGCAGCTGAGGCAGGCTGAAACAGCAGGATTTACATCAGAAACCCCTGCTACTAATTAGCCTGCTCCTCATTTTAGAAGTGCTTCAACAATTCTGTAGCCTGCAGACACACTTGTGAACAATTTCAATGACAGCTTAAAAATGAAAGCAATTTCAGAAAGATTCAATATATTTGTGTAATAGTATAATCTTTTATTGTCAGACTGCTGTGGTCCTAGAATCCTTCGCATAAATGCTTAAATGAATATTTTCCAAAGATATTTATGTTGACTTTGTTCTCTCTACCCAAAGATAGAATTCATGTTAATATTAATACCTCAGGGAAAGTGGCTGTAGTCATTGCTCTACTTCCTGCAAAGGCTAACAGCACATGGATCTTTACACACCCTGGTAATTATACTGACATTCCTAGAGCATATGGAAAATTGTGTAATGTGTATATTCAGGTTTTCCAAAGATAAAGATGTAGGAGCTACCAAATTAATCCAACAGATTAATCTCTACTCCTTTTACCAAGCCCCAGTAGACAGCACTGGAGTCACATCATATTTAACAATAAGACCTAGAAAGGCAGTAACTTAGCTTAAAAAATAGTACCAGTTTTAAGGTTTTTTCTATTGACAGAAATGAAAATGGAGAGGAAAGTTATCAGTAGAATTTAGGTTTGTATCTCTCAGCATCATGGGCTTGCAGTTTGGCACTGGCATTCAAATACCTTTTACAATACAACCTTTTCAGTACAGAACCACAAATCCATATTGAATACAAAACAAAATTTATCCAGATAAATGTTTAACATTGATTATGTTTAAAATTAAATTGGTGGTATCTACTTTCTATTTTCTTCCAGAAAGAATTAGAAAGAAATGAAATTTGGTCTCATGGGAAATTCTGTGCTTGATGGGCAGAAATGCAGAGGAATTTTTAAATCAGTGCTGCATTGTCCCTGTTCCCATTGATTGGTTTCTTTCTGATAGAATGAAGTTAGGAAAAAGGATTCAGGGGCACAGAGTCTGAGTGCAGGCAAAGAGGTTGGGTTGAGAGAGAAAGTGAAATAACTGAAGTAGCTTATTTTAATGAGAATTAAAACAAATTAAAACTGCATATGAATAAACCATAACAGCTTAGTGACTGAAAGATAGATAAACATGGTAAGTCAGGGGAATGTACTAAGATTCTCCTCAAAGAATTCTGAAAAAGACTAAAAATTTAAACAAGGAAAGAAGAACAGATGAATCTGTGCTTTTATCTAGACAATTACATGACCTGAAGTGCAAACAGCTATCCCTGGAAGCAGCTTCTTTCATAATTTTTCTTTCTCCCTTCCTCCTTGTCTTTTGGGAAGACAGCAGCTTTTTGTCCACCAAGTGGGACAGTGACCTTAACTCCCTTCAGGACCTTCAGGGCTGATAATGCTTTTCCTCTCAGCTTCATCCAAAAGCATCATATTGCAAGGATCTCCCCTGAACTAGCCCTTGCTTTCTGCAGAACATCCCAGTTTTAATTTGGGAGCAGAAACAGATCCTAGTCAAGCAGAACAGTAGCTGAATAGTTTTTCAATGCTCAGATTCCCAAGGGCAGACCTCCTGTAACTCCTCTGTCAAAGGGAGAAGCCAATGCAGAGGAATGAAGCAGGCAGAGGGCAGCAACACTGAAAGGAAAGGTGAGCACTTCCCTCTTGTGCAGGTGAGCCCTGCCATGTTGCCACATGTCCTGTAGCACCTGTTCTTGGCCCAGAAGCGTACTTTTTAAATTCCTTACTCTGCTTTCTGCCATTCTCAGTGAAGCTGGAGCACAAACACTAACAGCCTTTCACAGGACCAAGTTGTTTGAATGCCTGGGTTTTTTCCTGTACCCATGAAAATTTCCATGTGAAGGACACTGATGGCCTGGGGGGGGACATGAGCAGCACTCAGGCACACTTACAATTGCTATTCTGTGACAAGTTCAGAGACTCAAAGGGTGTCAGAGCAGCAGCAGCAGCAGTTTGAAAATAGCTATTTATATTGAATATGCCATTGCAGGGGGCAGTTTCAGTTGATTGCACTTTGAACTGGGGCTGTCACTGTGGATACTTGACAGCTTCAGCTACCACAACTGCTCTTACTCCTGTGCAGGGCTGATGTAAATGCAACAGACAACTTCCTGTGGACTCCTCTGCATCATGCTTGCTATAATGGACACCTGGATATCGCTGAGGTGCTCGTGAAGGCTGGAGCATCTGTGAATGCCCCTGCAATAGGCGGTGCCACCCCGCTGATGAGAGCCATTGAGGCCTGCAGGCTGGACATGGTCTATTTTTTAATCACTGCAGGTGCTGATGTCCAAGCTACAAACAGCAATGGTAAATAGCAATGTCTCCAAAATAGGCTGTTTCTTCATTAAGAATGCCTGGAACACTTTGAGAACTGTTCTGCATTTAGGGTTGTGGTCAGGATTGGGATGAAGGTAACAGGTTCAGTTAGTTTTCTCCAGTCTGGAATCATTATTGGAAAAAAAGTCAGCTTTCTTGGGCTTTACATATCTAGAAAATGAGATAACATGATTAATTACTCAATTCAGGAGACTGTTACTCCTCACAAGATACATACAGAGTTATAAGTGGCTTTAATGAAAACATTATTTCCAGTTATTATTATTTGAGGGAAAATTAGATTTCAGTTGTGGCCCAGAGTATAGTCTGCCACTCATTTAAGTTACTTATGTTTAGGCACAGGCAGCCATGGTTAAAAAACTTCCTTGCTGCTCTACATGTAAATATAACTCCAGAGAAAAAAATACTTAACAGAAAACCAAATCTGAGCTGGTACTGAAGTGTTATCTCCTCCCAGCTGATCCCTCATTCAGTGTTATTTCCATTGTCTCCAGAGTAACTTAAAAGTTAACATGCATCACCTTTCAATCTCTTGCTCTAACATAGGAAGCAACATTGCTACACAATGAGACTTTCCTTGCCAAAATGCCTAGTAGTGAAACCCTGCTTGCAGAAGGGATGTGTATTCCTTATTTCTTGTATTATGTGGAGTTCTGGTTCACACAGCAACTCACATATACTTTACAGACAGAGTCTCATAAGAACCTGGACAGATTTTTTCCTTCATTAAGCACTGAAGCTGTTCATTTACAGCATAGAGCTTTCCCTTGGAAGCCACAGAGCAAGTACAGGCAGAAGGAGATGGCTAGCACTGTACAAGGTTAGGAATGCAAACCATCTCCTAGTGCTAAATGCTCTCAGCTCTCAGAGATCAAAATGACAACCTGCAGGACCAGTGTATTAAGCTGCAAATGTCAGAACATTAAGAACAAAGCAAGCAATATAAGAATTCCTGCAATATTCCTGCAATGTTACTGCAAAATGAGTTTCAAGGCTTGTTTCTGCCAGGTCTTATTTCTGCAAGCAGTGCTGATGACCACTAGTCCTCACACCAATGTCAGGCACGCTGCTGGCACATGGGATGGGTAATAAAATACTGGCCATATTAAATTCAGTTCATTGTCCAGTTGCAATAAACCAATGCCAAAGTTAATTTTCATGGTTTGCATAGCTATTTATTTTTTAAATACAGGAAAGACTGTCCTTGATCTTGCTCAATTATTTGAAGATGCCACAATAATTGAACTGCTCAAAAATCAACTACAGATTTTGGCAGAACAAGAACAAGAAAAAGAAGAGCAAGCAAAAGGTGGAAAGCCAAAACCAGCAGAGCCACCGAAACCTGTGATAAAAGAGGTATGAGAGATGGTAACAAAGAACTGATTTGCTAATAGTTAGCAGGAAACTTCTTTCTTTCCTTTCTTTGCCACCCAATTCTCTCTAACGCTGTAACTCAGGCAGCTTTGTTAAAGTATTTTCAGATGCCAGTGCTTCTTCTTGTGAGTATTAGAACTTGTTCACTGGTTGAAATTTGTCTTGCTAATTATAAAAACATCATGTCTTTCCCAGACATACATAAGAATAAGTCCTGTGTCACTGACAGGACACAGAAAAAGATTTCCTTTTCTTTTTCCTTCCTCCTGAAGTATATGCTCATCCAGCTCTGTTGTGGTAAACACTGAACAACTGGTAAGCATAATTTCTTAAAGGGAGAACCTCTTTTTTTCACAAGATAAGAACAATACCCTTCGAACTGGTAAAAAGATTTTCATTCTCCTAGTTGAACTCACTGAGACAATACCAGGCTTGCTAACTTCCTATTTTCCATTTTGTCCCATATCCTTCCTCTTCCACTATTTATCTGAGTTCCATTTCTCAAATCCCACACTGATGTTTGCCTGTTTTATTCCTGAATGCTCTGCCTGCCTTGAGCCTTGAGCACCTCAGCATTGCCCTATTCCCAAGCTGACATCAGCCCCTGTGACCACATGCAGGGTCTCTTATTGTGGGTGAGACCTTCCTGATTCACCAGTGGTACTTGTTGGTCACATCCAGGATGCTGTTTAGGGGGAAGACGCAATTGTATCTGCATGGCTGGAAGTGTCCTTCAGCTGCCCTGGACAGTGCAATAAATATGTCCCCGTAGCTAAATGTTGGCACCTCCCTTTCACAAAGGTTTTGAATGTCAGGGACAGCACAGGACTTTCAGAGGCAGAAGGATGACAACCTTAGGTGCTTGTTTATTCCTCACTTGGAAGGGGATGGGATGACCAGTGGTACAAGGTGACTGTCTTGGGAGTCATAAAGAGCTGTTAATGTTTTAGTGCCCAAGGAGGAGAGGTGCCTTTTACCTTTCAAAAGGATGGCCCTTGCAATTTTTGATTTTTAAAAATAAGCTTTGAGAAAAACAGATTCTGAACAGATTAAACACTGTAGCAGAGTATCAGAAGATGCAGGATGCATGCCTTCCTTCTGAACATGACTTATTGGTATAATTGGTACCTTCTTCCCCTTCAGTCTCCTGAGGAATCTCAGCCACCCGAGGAAGAGCCTGTTCCTGAAAAGAAAAAGCGTTCCCGTAAGGGCAGTGCTGCTTATTGGAAATCTTTGGCACCGAGAGAAAACAAGAATGACATCTCCTTCAGACCCAGAAAAGTACGTACAGCAGCAAAACATGAGTGCAGTTTCATGGTAACTTAAAGGTAGAACTTGCTGAGATCAAAACCCAGAACAATCCAATGAAATTTCTGCTATTCAACTAGCTTAGAGATGGTGTGACACAGCCTGGAGAGGTTGCCACCAAACAACAGTAAATTAAAGAGTTAGTGGATGTATATTATATAATAACACATATATTTATATAAAACAAATATTTGTGGAAATCAAACTCTTATCAGGTTTTAAAAAAGGATTAAAGTGGAGCCACAGTAAAATAGAAAATGCAACTACATTTATGGTATATATTTTTATACTCCTGCTTTTAAAAGATGGGAGTCTATTTGCATAACATGAGCACCAGCTTCTGTCTTGCTCTCTTGATTAGTTATCACATGATGACTTTTGTCAGTGGCATTTAGTGAACTAGATGGATCACAGCACACTAAATATTTGCTTCCTAGAGTTGGAATGGTAGAAATGTAACTTTTCTGTCAGGGTCTTGTTAATTCACACTTAGAAGTAACTGAGAAACAGAACAAGATAATCACAGTGAGGTAATTTTTGCAGTATTTTTTTTTCTCCTTAAAAAGGAAAAGAATACCACTGCTAGCTGAGCAGTTGCGTTTGGAGTTTGTTTATAATTTCCCTAACCCTGATTTGTGCTAGTTTCCACAACGGTCTCAGAGGACTGAGGCTACATAGCTGATGACTCTACAGCTAATTACTATTTTCCACTCTGAGGATCAAGAGCCCAAGTCAGTAATTTTAAATAATTACCTTAAGACCATCTTTCCCATATTATCAGAGTCCATGGCATGTTATAGATTGGAAGTGACAACAAGAGAATGCTCTGTTTATACACACACAAATTGTTGACCTGTCTTCTGCCAGGAGGTCACACTTCTTCTTTTCTATGTCTCATAATAAAATGGAGTGCTAGAACACAGCTCTCTTTGGCTAACAGTATCTTCTTAGTGCTTCTGTTGCAGAAGTCCCATTCAAATTAACTACAAATGCCTTTATTTTGTAGATATGGAGCCCTGATGCCACAGCAATACAGCTTGCAGAGAAGCGAGAATTACTTCGGGAACGCGCTACTCTTGTTGGTCACATGGAAGATTTTACAACCCTCTTCAATAGAAAATTTGAGTAAGAACAGCATCTGGAAGAAGCTATTTCAACACATATTTTGAGGAGACAAAGATGTAAAGGGCTACTCCTTTTCAAGGAAGGAATCGTGCAGTGCTCAGTAAACGTATCTCAGTTACCATAAAAGAAAGTCCTATCAAGTTTTTTCCTCTCTAGATTATGTTGCTTACACACAATCTTTTGTTGAGGGCTTAGTCTGGAAAAAGATTTATCCTCATGTGATTCTAAGTCTTGAAACTGACTCAGTATACTTCATGGATAGTCAGTGTTTTGACACACATACGTCCTTTGTAAAGGTGTAGCTTTATAAGGCTTTCTTTACCCCAACACAAAGCTTCTTCCTGGAAGATACATTACCCTTCTACTCTAAATATATAGCTATGAAGATGGCATTCTGTAATTAGCTACGACAGCAATGTTCTGATTTGTCTGTAGAGGCAACAAAGAGCTCAGAATTTAAAACCAGAACTATCACTGCCCAGTGTATTTCTTTCATGTTCTCCCATTCATTTGTCAAAGTGCACACGAGACCTGAAACTGCTTCCACCCCAACAGGCACATACTGTTTTCCTTCTGATTTCTTGAAAGGATCATAATGTCTACATAATAATCTGTAATCCATTTTCCATGTCTCCCACGGACCCTTGTTATCTCCCAGATGTAGGAGGGGTCTCGTAGGTGGTGCTGATGGAGACCTGCATTATAGAGTCCCAAGCCACTGAGATCATTGAGTCCAACCTTTGACCACCATGGCACTGAGTACCACATCCAGTCTTTCCTTAAATACCTCCAGGGACAGTGACTCCACCACCTCCCTGGGCAGCCCATTCCAGTGTTAACCCTTCTCATGAAGAAATTTCTCCTAATGTTCAACTTGAATATGTATGTCTTCATCCTCCTGGTAATTTTTCCTAAGCTCTTCCAGTTTGCCTGAGGGGGTTATTAACACTGTTCTGGGGCATCCAAAATTGATATCACATTCATTTTTCCATTTTTTTGCTTTTAGCTTCTTTCTAAGAGATTTGTTTTGCTCCATCACTTCCTGAACGATCAAATGAAGCAACTCCCTGTAAGCATTCCTGAGAGCTGCAAAGCTTTCATCAATAATGACCCTCTGAGGGTTGTCCTAACTTTTCTCCTGAAGAAAAACATTCCAACAGATCTGGATCCCTCCATCACAGCCAAGGGATCCTGCCTCTGATGCCATTTTAACATTATGACCCATTTATGAGGCCAGGTAACTGAGGTTCTTGTTAATATTAGGGAATAATAAATCCCCTCGAGGGGAATCAGAGTGAAACAACACTGAATGACCAGTGTGTGATTTTTATCTGTCAGCATAAAACTTCTGCTGGCTGCAAATGATTGCAAATAACAAAAATAGTAGTGCTTCAGTTAAGTCATAGAAGGCAGTGTGGGAAAGGAGCCCGTGAACAATTGTAAATGAAACTGCATCTCTGAGGGAAGGAAAAGCAAAGGGGCAATTTTCTGAACAGTAGCCATCAAAATAAAATCAAGCAGCAGTCAAAAATTATACTGTAAGGTAAAACTGTGTTTCTGTCAGAGCTCTGCCATGGAGATTACACAGGACAGTTCACAGCCTTCACATGTCCAACGAGGCTTTTCCTTGTTCTTAGTGTAAGGCTGAGCAGCATACCATTCCTTGTGGGATCTTCCAGTACTTGTGTCAGGAAGGGATCATCAAAGCTTTCCAGGAATCTCCTGGACTATCTGTACTTTGCTGTATTGCTTATCCAGCAGCTGTCAGAGTAAAGTCCCTCACAAGAGGGGAGAAACAGGACCTGTGATACTGAGGCTGCTTTGAGCATGCTGCATTGTGGCATCACAGTGGTGTCAGAATTAGGAGGCTGTGTCCTGTGCAGGACACCCACTGCAGTCCCTAAGGGATGGGGGAATAGGAAAACCTGCTTGGCCCAGAGGTAGTAGAGCTACCTCACAGCTTCCCTCACCATCAGACTAGCCTGGGACAGTGTGACACAGAGCAGCACTGCAGGCACACAGTCCCTTAGCCAGGGGCAATACTTGAGCAGGTGACATCCCAGCTGTCCCTGGCCCAGCAGGGCCAGGACAAGGGAGCAGCGGAGCATCCCGAGGCTGTGGAGTGCAGCTGGGATGCCAGCAGAAGGCTTGGCAGGTCAGGGAACGCCATGTCAGGAGCCCCAGACTTGGTGAGCCAGAGGCAGACAGGTCAGCACGTTCTCCCCTTCCCTGCCCACCCCACGGGCTCCACATGGGGTCAATGGGCTCAGGTGGGGCTGTCCTCACAGGGCAGGTGGCAGCTGTCACCATCGACTACCCCAATAGCCGCCAGCACGCGGTTGAGTCTGAGCGGCTCAAGAAGGCCAGGCTGCATGTGGAGAAGGCCATTAAGGTGAGGAGTTTGATTTCACATGGCCCTGAGATGCCACATGCTTGCATTTGTGCACCTGTGGCTCAGGAGAGCTGAGCCAGAGGACTGGGGTGGGGCAGGCTGAGCTCGCTGTTGTCCCCACAGGAGAAGAAGATCTTTGCAGTGCAGGGCCCTTATCCCGTCATCCGCCGCCTGCTGCGGGCCCGGGGCTGGGTGGAGAGGAAGCTGCCACGCAAGGGCAGACAGCTGAAGCAGCATCCTGGCGACCAAAAGAAACAGGAGCTGGAGAAGAGGGCAAGTGGTGGCGGTGATGAGCAGGGAGAGACAGTGCTGAACCCACGTGGTGGGGCACAGCCTTCCCTGGGCACCACAGAGCCCCTGCACCACCCATGGTCACGCAATAAGGAGAGCAAGGGGGAAAGGGAAGATGAAGACAAGAAGGAAGACAAAGAACAGTGCAGTGAGGACTCTGATGACATCCATGACCTCATGGTGAGCTAAGAGGGCTAGGGCTGAGCTTTGCCACAGCTCCCCACGTCCTTCCCCTGGGACCCTCAGGGGCAGGGCACAGCCTGAGGCAAGGGACTGGGGCAGGATTAGGGCTCCCTGGCTCACCCCAGCCCACTCCCTCCTGCAGTCCTTCCTGGCGCAGGACCAGGTGCCAAACTTCCTGTGGACCATTCGCCTTAGCAACATTGACCAGGAGCTGCTGCCAAAGATTGAGATGGTGAACCGCTTTCCCCGGCTGTACGCGCTTTGCACCAAGGTGGGGGCACAGAAGCCTCAGGGATGGGGTCACAAGGGGTGGGGGTGTCCAGAAGGGAATGACAAGCTTCTCTAAACAGGAGGGGCTGTGTCAAAGCCTGCAAAACTTGTCCTGGTTCGAGCAAGTCGACCTGAACACCTTTTTCCCCCGGTGCTACCGGCTGGGGCTCATGGACGAGCAGAAAGCTTTCATTGGTGAGCCTGGAGCTGCTGCCCTCATGTCATCCCTTGTGCTCCAGTCTTCCCACGTTCTGTGCAGGACTGGCTAGGGATGATGCTTCCTTCTTGCAGAGGATTTCCGCCTGACGGCAGCTCGCAGCCTGCTCAAACTGGCCCTGCAGAAGGTCGAGGACAGGTGGGTGGGGACAGAGCAGTCCCCAAAGGTGCCAGGTGAGTGCATGGAGCTGGCTGAGCGGGACGGAGACGGGGGATGAAACAAGGAGTTCAGGGTTAGGGGCATGTCTGAGGGCTGAGCTTGGAGACTAAGCCTCTGCTTATGTCTATGGCTTGAGACCACTTATTCCCTCCCCTGCCATAGCTCCAAAGGCACCCGTCCCACAGGGAGGCTCAAGGCTTCAGCTAGCCTGGCATAGGAATCCTTTCTCAACCCATGCCATCCACAGCAGGGCCGCACTCCCCCCTGTATCCCCAGCTGGTGCAGGAGGCCCTGGAAGTCTGTGAGCAGCACCTGGGCGTCCTTGGGCACCGGGACATCGACAGGAACACCCCGTCGCCCTGCCGGACATGCATCGCCTGGCACCGCTTCCTGCAGGAATATTACCGCGTGGCACAGTGAGTGCTGAGCGAGACGGGGGCAGGGGGACGGTGGCGGGGCGGTGCTGAGCCCCCCGTGTCCCCCCTCAGTGAGGGCACCAGGCTGGTGCTGAGCACGGAGCAGCAGGAGCAGTGCCAGGACGTGCTGCGGCGCCTGGAGGAGCAGCTGCCGCAGCTCGGCATAGAGGGCAACCTCAACGTCTGGATCCTCAAGCCCAGCGCCAAATCCCGCGGCAGGGGTAAGGCTGGGGGAAGCATGGGGCACGCACATCCTCACGGAGAAGGGATCCCACCATCACTGTGTTGCCCAGGCATCGTCTGTGCGACGCGGCTGGAGGAGGTGCTGGAGCTGGCGCGGAGCTGCACGGACCCCGCGGCGCGGGTGTGCGAGTGGGTGGTGCAGAAGTACGTGGAGCGGCCGCTGACCATCTTCGACACCAAATTCGACATCCGGCAGTGGTTCCTGGTGACTGACTGGAAGCCACTGACTGCCTGGTTCTACCGAGACTGCTACCTGCGCTTCTGCTCCCAGCCCTTCTCCCTGCGTCACCTGGAGCCGTGAGTGTCCTCCCCCTCACCCCCGGCTCGCAGTGCCCAGCCCCCCGGCACCCCCTGACCCAGCCCCGCTCTCCAGCGCCAGGCACCTCTGCAACGTGTCCATCCAGAAGCGCTACAAAGCATCACAGCCGGACCCCCGCGTGCCCCCCGACAAGATCTGGTCCAACAAGCAGTTCCAGGCATACCTGGCACGGCTGGGGCGGGCGGATGCTTGGCAGCGGGTGGTGGTTCCCGGCATGAAGGCGGCGATCCTGAACGCCCTGCGCTGCACCCGGGATCAGGTGGGCTCCCGCAAGGGCAGCTTCGAGCTCTTCGGGGCCGACTTTCTCATCGGGGAGGACTTCCAGCCCTGGCTGCTGGAGATCAACTCCTGCCCCACCATGAGCCCCTCCTCGGCGGTGACCCGCCGGCTCTGCGCCAACGTCCAGCGGGACACGCTGCGCCTCGTGCTGGACCGCAAGGACAATCCCACCTGTTCCATCGGTGCCTTTGAGCTCCTCTACAGGGAGGTAGGCTGGGGGCTGGGGACAGCCCCACCTCAGGCACCCCGAGCCCCCACTGCCCCTTGTGTCTCCCTGCAGGCAGCCGTGTCCTCATGCCTGACTGTGGGGCTGAAGCTGATGGTCACCGGCTGTTCCCTGAAGAAGTCCCGGCCGGCAAAGCTTCGATCCCAGGACAAGCCCCCCACCAGCATACCCAGTGCTCCCCAGCTCCCTGCATCCTCTCAGGACAGAGCCACCAAGGTCCCCTGGTCCAGAGCAGCACGGGAAAAGCTGCCTCCTCTGAGGCCGCAGAGCAGCTGCTGTCCACCCAAGCCTGAACCTCCAGCACTGCCAGAGCCCCCAGACACCTCTGCTGGGGGCCAGGAGCTGCCATGGCTTCTTCACCTGGTTAGGCAGCCCGAGGAAGCTCAGCCCCACATCAGTAGCTGTCCCAGGGATAGAGTGCCTGGATCACCAACCCAGGGGCCCCCCAGGAGCCCCTCGCAACCCTCAGGCTGCTCTGC